GTCATAGCAAGAAGAATAACAACAGACTCTTCCTCTAAATGGTGCACCTCAGCATATGAAGTCAAAACAGGAGGTGGATTAACAAAGGTTTCTCGAATAAGGAGTTTCATATCATTCCAAGTTTGAGGTTTATCAGAAGGATCTAAAGACTCTCACCAAGATAAAATAGAATGTCGTAAAACACTAGCTACATTTTTTATCTTCCTCCTTGGACACATAAAGCGAGTAGCAAATATGTTATCGATGGTAATTTCCCACTCCATGTACTCATCAGCACCTATACCATCATAAGTCGGTGGATACGAACAACCTGTCATTGTTAGAAAACAGCAAAAGACAACACAAAAGTATTATCCCTATCAACTACTATAGGATGTGGACAAGAAAAAATAAGGCACTCAACTCTCAAGCGTCTTACCACGGTCTTACAAGTGTTCTTACCAAAGCAATAGACAGTGCAATCGGTCGGTGACTGTGATACCGTTGTAGATTGAGTGTAACAGTTGCAAGATGAACCTGTACTTGGTTAGAAGAAAATGGAGCTTGCACAGGCATAATATAGTAGCAAGGAATAGCAATAATTTAATTTAGAAATTGCAAGATTGAAAAGTAGTCCCAAGCTAGTCTATGTCGCCAGCCTAGACTCGTCCTGGACCAAGCTCAAGCAAGTAACAATACAACTCGGCATGAGGACTCAAAGGATGCAAACACTTCTGAATTTTTTCACTTTCTTTTTTGGTGCGGCTCTTTTGTTTTTCTTCTTTTTTTGCACCTCATTGCCTTTTTTTGTGCGGCTTTTTTTTTGCACGTTTTGTCTTTTCCTTTTTTTTAATCTTAGATAATGTGCCGTAAGGAACAAGAAATAGAACTGAATGATACACGACCGGAAAAGTAATCACAAGATAACAAATCTTCTAGCTTCAACGCACTAAGATATCTTCCACAAATATTAGAGTGTAGCAGTTGACAAATATATGCTCATAATCTGTACGTGGTGTGCTACTATCAACGTGACCATAAGGGACTCCTTCAAGGCAAAGAAAGGTCACGTGAAAATCAAAAGGGAAATAATTCTTTCCTGTGTTGATTGGCCAGAAATAAATAAACAAGGATATTCGGCCACAGATCACGCCTAAACTGCTATGCTCTTTACTGTTTTGATTGAGGCACGATATATTCTTGGAAAGAAAAATGACGGCACCTCCAACAACAAAAACCGATCTACAATATGTTTATGCTCTAAATTGTTGCTCGTATAGCAGAATAGAACTAGTGTACCATGGAACAAGGAGACCTAGACACACATTTAACACGACATGCGAGGGACGACCGTTCAACAAAGCAAACTGAAATTAAAAAAATATTGCAAGGGCACAAAGGGGCTGTAGGATATGGAATATATGGCGGTGTATATGTTTTTTTGGCTTTTTGTGGACTATAGGTAAAACAAAAATAGTAACAATTTAAAAGACAAAAATAAAGGTATACCTAACGGGCAACAAGGTCTCTGATACCACTTGATGTAGACTAGGCCCGATCTTCCGAAAGGTATGATAGCGTCGATTGGTGGAGACTCGGCGTTCACGATCTAGGCTTGAACCAAGACTAATTCGGACCCCGCAACCGTTACACCACTGCTCCGTTGGTTATCAATCACGCGAATGCGATTGACCTCGTCAAGAAGGCTTTCCTGCAAGCGAATCGAGAACACAAGCAAGAACGAGATGAACGCAATCTGAAATTACAAATAAATATGAGGCTTATGATAACGAGAAAGAGTTCAAGTCTTTATTCGAAAGGACTAATCGCCACAGGCGAACAAGATTAAGAACTGGGGCCCTGGTTCACAGCAAGCAGCCTTGGCGGCACAGTTGCAGCAAAACGATGTCTGTTTCACGAGGAAAACAAGAATTAAACAAAACACAGACCCTAAAAAGAGTGACGGCTGCTATTTATAAAGTCTTGGGCGTCACCCCCTTGGACGCACCTCCTAATAGGCCCAAACACGATACACGGTCTAACAGACCAAAAGACGGTGTCGCAGCACCCTGGCAGATTCTGGACACTGACTTGTTTCGACGATTCCCGTTAATTCCGAAGGGCTTTTGATGTGAGACCACTTAGATTGGCTTCTTTATCAAATTAGCTTTCCATCCACATGTGGATCGTCGAAAACGGAGTCTGGATGCATCATGGGTGACCAGTTTAAGGCAGACTGGTCCTGGAGGCCGAGGCAAACTCGAACTTGAGTTGCTTTGGGCCTCCACCTCGGGGACTCGAACCGAATTAGCCTCGGACCTCCTTCTTGACTTGAACACCCTTGCTGGCCTCCTACCCCTCCATACCATGCGCCAAACATGGTCATATGCATGGGTGTCATGTCCTCATCATCTTCTCACTTGAGGCTTCCACTAGTTCCATGCTTATATCACTTTTCTCGAGGGAGGAATATAAGCACCATGCAAAGTCCCCGCCTGTTCTTCAATGATGCCAACAAATGAGTGTTGAAACGAAAAGAGTTCAGTTTTTTTTGGCCATGCTGTGGTGTGAATGATGAAATTATTTAGAGAAATATTCTCATGACCTATATCATGAGTCACTGAAAATATAAGTATGTACACTTGTTATGGTTTGGTACCCCAAAATTTCAATGCTACCCTGGTGGCCTGGTGTTCTGTATGCAAATACATCTTTACTTTATATTCTCTTACCGAAGAATCTGCTAAATATTCTCTTGCTTACAAATTGAGCTGACATTAAAAAAATTGTATTCTTGAAACTGCTGTGTTCATTTAGGTTCTAGTTTACCCCTACACCATTTCTGTCTGAGTCTGCCCATTCCTGTGATTTTCTTCCATATATTGAACCTCATGTGGAAATAATGGGTGATGCCTGTTGGAAGAGGGTATTTATCTCATGAGTGATACAAGTGTTGGCAATGGAGGAGGTAAGATGCGCACGCACACACCAGGAGGTTGGTATTATAATGTACTTGCCGGCATCAGATGTTCTCCAAAGGAAGGAAATTACAGAGGAGTTCTTCAATTATAGGAGCCCGACACAAGCAAATCTCTGGGATGATTATTCTGCAATGAACACTGGGCCAAAACTGAGGTACCAATTTCTACTGCTAGTTTCAATATTTTTTCAGACACTATTTCTGTTCTTGCCTAGACTTATTTTAACATATGAATGAAAATAGCATCAGTCTTGATAATTTCAAAAAGTATGACCTCTTCACTTGCACGAATACCTGGCTGAGCTCTTTACACCTGGATAAAATTCATGCCTGGTTAGCAGATAGAAGCTGGCTAGCTGATCAATCCAACTACCGAAACATCGATTTCAGTTTACAGTTGAAGCTGGCTAGCAGATAGATCCATTGTCCCTTATTTTCAATTTTAAGTCTATTGTTTTGCTATGCAGAGTTCAGACAATGTAATGTACAAGTATGCACTATGAAGTACACTTGATAACTCATGAAAAATTTGCACTAACTGCTTGCTAACATCATCTTCTGTTCTAGTGTTCCAGTGGTGAAAAATTTCAGAGGCTAAAGTTTCACTGATGTTAGCAAGGAAATGACAGACTAAAATTTCACTTTGAAGTAAATTTTTGATGGAATACTTATAATCTCACAACACTGTCTCTGTCAAGTATGACCCAAGATGATGAAAAGTCTGAACATCTTGCTGCCATGAAATGTTTCAAGAAGACGCTTTTTCCTGAAAGCGTATAAGTATGTATACTCTTGCCCTTCCTGCTTCCTGAAAGTATATAAACATATAAGTTTGAACATCTTGGGTCAGTGTCATTTTGTGGGTGACGCCTTTCCTGTTTTGATGTTATATGCTTGATAGCCGGTTGCTGTTAATTAGCTAAGATCTCAGATGGTCTTGTTTCTTGCAGTTATAACTACCTGGAGAAGCAGAAGATCAATATGAGGAACATGTTACCTGTCTAGCAAGCTGTTGTACCAGATAGCCAGCTGTTGTTGTGATCATGTCTCAGGTCATGATACCTGTAATGTTGGTCATGATACTCTGTAACCATGAGACCCGGTCGCTGTACATTTTTTTCTCAAGTGTGAGCTCTTTTCTTGCTAGTGTGAACTGATGTTGCTGAGTGCAATCTGCTGCCGTGAGGATGAACTAGTATGAACTAGATGCTTTTATGAAATGGTAAACTAGTATGAACATGCTGCTTGTATGAACTGGAGAACTGCTACTGACTATATGTTTTAAATCCTAACGCCTCTGTTCCAAAAGAATATTATTCTAGGTTTGAACTAACTCAATTTTCATGAAGTTGACTAGGTTTATCGAAAATATTATCATATTTATATCTCCAAATATGTTTATTATGAAAATATACTCCATAATTCATCTAATGATACTTATTACGCATTAAAAGTATCAGTACATTTTTTGTATGTATCTAATTAACTTTAAGGTTTATTGACTCCTCGAAAATTAAGAATGACATTCCTTTTAGAACAGAGTGAGTTACCTCCCAGTGTACTGCACTTAACTATGGAAGCAAATCGTGTTCTTGGTACAATAGCCCAAATAAACTTAACGTGTGTTCTCCATGACCTCATAAAAAATTAATTGAACCTAATAAATAGCGACCAAATATCTCATATACGTTCAGAGAGTGCAGCTCGTGTTGTATCACTTGATCGATAACTCTGATGTGTGATTCCAAACAATTATATACGTTGTTCGACAGAACTGAAAAATAAGCCAAAATACTGTTCCGGCTGATTGTTGTGAGGGAAAATACCGTTCTGTCTGAAAACACTGTTCATGTGAAAAAAACAATTATATACCTGGGAAAAAATTACCAGAATGCTTTAAACTTGACTCAAACCTTCCTATTTCCTAGTATGATTTCCCAGCCATTATTTGTTTCGATGAATTGCTATATTTTGTTGTGCAGTGAGCCATACTTTCCAGACTGCAAGCACAAGTTCTGGCAAGTCATGCATGATTAGGCTCATGGCACTGAAGAATTCATCTGGATTCCTCGTCAATAACAACTGCGTCATTGGTGTCAAGTTCATTAAAGTTGTCACCACAAAAGCAAAGACGACATCAGAGAAACTCTTTGTCAAGAATACGAGCACCTTGCCCGAGGCCAAATCTGCTTACACCTGGTGCATTGTGGACTTCTTTGGAATGAAGAACCCAGGGTACTCCCGGAGTTCACCGCCGGTGGATACAAATGGTAGGGTGATTTCATCTGGATTTCCTTTCCTTGATTCAAAACATGGTGTAAATGTCACTCGTGCATTTGATCACTAGAGATTGGGAGGAGTTGCACTCATTCATGCACGATCGGTTCTTGCAGGTCGATTCGCCTCGATAAAGAAGAAAACCACATCTCCTTGTACCTGAAGAAGATGATAAATGATCTCCCCGAAGACTATGCCATCCTGGTTGAATTCACCTTATCCATCAAAAACCAGGAAGGTCGCAAGCATTTGAAAACAACAGGTTTGCTATTTAGTACAAATTTGCTTAATGGATAGGTCTCCGGATGCTAAATTGTTTTCACATATTTAAACCCTTCTTTTGCTGTTGGGAATTGCAGGCCGGACCCAGTTCTCAAACAATGTTCGGATCTGGGGATGGGAGAACGTTGTTTCAATGGAGGATATCCAGGACTCATCAAATGGTTATCTCATCAAGACCAAGTGCTGCATTGAGGCTGAGGTCAAAATCGTTGGCTCCTCTAGGATGAAGTAGTTTCAGTAATATAATTGTATCTAGTTATGCCAAAAATTTACTTATCTCAAAAAATAGGCCCTTCATTCATTTTGTCAAGGACACCAAATATTCGTGCTTGTTGCATTTGGATGGGATCTTAATTGCTGAAATATGCAGCTGAGCGATTTTTTGCAGCAGTCGTTTGCTATCGATTTTTGTTAGCTCTGTTTCTCTTCTGAACAACACACTAGTGGCTACTCCTACTCGAAGTAATCTACTCTGTTACTGAAAGTTACAAAAAGAGCTTAATTTTGCCGGTACTGAAAGTTTCACAGTATAAGAGTAGTTGCGACTACAAACATCTCCCATTAACATCATCAGTTGGTACTTGGTAGAAATACCACTTAAATCAGATTTAGCTCATGCGTTCAAAAAAATAAAAAATCAGAGATAGTTTAAGATATATGTGGGAGGATAGACAGCAAACTCGCCAACAATTGCACCAATTTACAGTACAGTGGTCAAAACATGCATCACATACACCATCAAATGTGGTTATTTGTTTCCTAGAACTAGAATACGCAGTGCGTATCACTACATTAAGAAGGGAACATAAAAAGTCTTATACAACGCGATTGCTCAAAGGCATCTTTTCCAGCAGCTTCTATCCTATACTCATCGTGATCATGCAAAAATACCACCACAGAAACTACTGTGGGCTCTACCTAAATTCAACAAAAAGCAACACACCGTGAAAGATTGACCGTGCCATCATCATCAACTAGCAGGCATCTTCTCAAAACCAGAATGGAGCAACAAAACTCAGTATGTGCAGTCACTGCACCAATAAAACTTTCTGGCCATGACCCTAGAGTGACGCAATCACAGAGGTTTTTATCCATACATACGCTCATCAAACATGTAGAACAACAGTTTTGGATATGTAGTTACTAATGATTCATTCGCCACGTGGTACATCATATATGCGATGCTTGCCATATGGATACTATAAGGAGTATTATATAGCACCACTAGTTTATTCAACAATCATTCGAGGTGAGTTTAACAGCCAGCCTACTACATTACTTGACACTCAAATATAGTTGAAATTAGAATTTTGTATAGTAACATTTTAAACAAAAACTCTTGATTTATAGTGTAATAAAAATAAATTCCTTATACTCAAATATGGTTGAAATTAGAATTTTTTTACCTACTTTGGGATGAGATAAAATGGAGATGATGACATGCCATTAGTATATTGGATAAAATTTGAGTGAAAGGAAAAACAAAAAATTACTTGATTGTTGGATATACAGTTCCTTTCTTTCTTTCTTTTTCCTTCCGGACAATGATGTCTTGGACAACAAAAACCACTTTTCTATTAGAATATAAATGAACATCCTAACGAATTTATGTTTTTATGAAAGTTTTTTCATGGAAAACCTGTGCATATGATATTCAAGTTCCTAAAATAAATAATTAAAATTTTATTATTAGTAATCAAAGTTATAAAAGTTTGACTCAAACTCCAAAATATCATACGTGCAAACCATACAATTTCTCCTATTCCAATTCCTTCTTACTAAATTATATTTGTAAGAATAACACCCTTTTTAAAAAACCACAAAAAGATTCTTTAGTCGCCAAACTTTTTGAGAAACCTTTGTCCCTAGAGTTTATTGAGAAAAACTATTAGTTCGAACAAGTAAAAAGTATCCCTTCCTACGTGTAATTCAATGTTTGCAAATCTTGTTACTATGTCCTAACAATTTATTACCTAGTAATGCTCTTCTAGAGAAAACATTGAGTTGTTGCAATAGCGGTTTGTTTTCACTGAACTATATTATACAAGTTAGGATATTTGGGTCTTAAGATGACTCTTGAAGCTATTTTAAAAGATGAACTTGTTAGAGGTACCATGATGAAAAATAAAAAAAGCATATTTATAAGTACAAAACAAATCATGATAAATGAACCCGAGAAACATGGAAAGGAAAATTCCAAAACTATTCACAATAATAAACTGCCCTTTTGCTTGTTACTCAATCCATCCCAAATTGTAAGACGTTTGACTTTTTTGACACCAAGTTTGACCACTTGTCTTATTCAAAAATTTGTGTAAAATATCACTTCTTTCGTCATGGTTTGGTTTATTAATAAAAATTCTTCAAGAATGACTTAAATTTGACTATATTTGCATAAATTTTTTGAATAAGACGAGTGGTCAAACTTGGGGCCAAAAAAGTCAAACGTCTTACAATTTGGGATGAAGTACTTGTGTGTGTTGGTTACATAGCTTCGCTAGCTAGCGGTTCGTTTGGTACGGAAGTCGTTTCTTGTGTGGGGGACATTTCCAGTTTTTTCCCCATGGTAGTGAAGAAGCCGTAGCCGGTAAAGGAAAAAATAGTGATTTTATTGACTCCTAATTTATTTTGAGAGAAGAGAGAAAAATAATTCTTCATTATAGTGCATGAAGAGGTCACAGCTAGAGCCATCTAGAGTTCTACCAAGCCAGACCTAATTCTAATTATTAGGTGAATAAAAGTTCCCCCTGATTTAAAAAAAAAGTTTAGCAACGTCTGATTTCAAAATCATCTATAATAGAGATTCTCCAGTTTGTCCTAAAAATTAATGTTTTTGAACATTATTAGTCTTAAGTATTATATTACTGTCACATCACACCATTTTTTTAGGGTATGTATCGGCGACAGGCGAATGACGATGTCAATCATCTTCCTCCTCGTGCCCCCTCCTCGTGCCCGCGCCTTCCTCCTCCTCGCGCCCCACCCCAGCCTGCCTCGCCGGCAGCCACACCCTCCTCATCGTCCTCGCCCTCGCCGCTGCCCACCTCTCCGCCCATGACGTGCTAGGGGTTTCGTCAGGCGAAGGCCATGTGAGCTCACAGCAAAACCCTAGCGCCATGATGACCGCCTTCTTCCCCCCCTCCTTCTGCGGCGAGCTCCGCCATGTCGCCCCTGCCCGACTTGCCCCCCGCCTCGCGCCGCCACCGGGACCCTAAGCCGTCCTCTCCCGTCCCCCCACTGCCCCCCGCACCCAAAAAAAAACTTATAAGCCCGTCGGAGCCCTAGCCGCTCGTCGGAACCCTAGCCGCCGCCGCCGTTGAGGAAGAAGAGCGTGGAGAGACAGACGACTGACGGAAAAGCAAAATTTCCTGCAAAGGAGTAATTCTGTTTTTTTAAGGGCTAACCTATATTCAATTTCCTGCAAAGGAGTAATTTCGTTAAGAAGAGTGACAGCCTGCTCATTTGGCTGTGGCTTGTCGTAAACGATCGTAAATTTTCAGCAGGAACAGTATTTTCTCTCTCACACAAATCAGCCAAAGATTATTTCTTTACTTAACCAAAGAACGAAACGAAAAAGCTATCCAACCGATCAGGCCGTGAGATTCCGCTTGTACCCACCCAAAACCCCAGCCCACCCAACCCAAGAACGAAAATGGATCCGAACCAGTTCGCCCCCTCCCAGCAATCGGCGCTGACCATGGACTCGGCGGAGAGCACTGCCGCCGCAGCCGCGCGCGCGCCCAACAGCGCCGCCCGGGCCGTCGATGGCCACGACGTCGACGACGACGACGACGCCGTCCCCGAGGTGGCCGCCTGCATATCGACGATGCTCGACCGCGGGGGCAGCGTGGAGAGCCACCGCCTCTTCCTGGCGCGCCGCACCGCGCTGGAGATGCTCCGCGACCGCGGGTACGCCGTCCCGGAGGACGAGCTCGCCCGCACCCTCCCGGAGTTCCGCGCCTGGTGGGAAGACAAGCCGGAGCTCGAACGCCTCGCCTTCTCCACTACCCTCGCCTCCGACCCATCCAGCAAGGTGGGGTTTTTTATTTTCTTCTTTTCAGTTACTTATTACCCCATGGTATCATACTATCATCATCGGTGTGGCATCAGATGTTCTTGCATTAGGGTTAGAGTTAGATTCGTGTTCTAGCGCACGATTTCAACCTGCATTCGGGTCCTGCTCCATCAAGTCTGGTTTTATACTCCTGATAACCTCCCGAAATTAAATAGGTTGTTAGTACTCATTAGTGCACTAGAACCCAGTTATGCTCAGATAGGCATTGTGGACGGGAGGTACTGCAAAATTGAAGAGTTTGGGAGAAAGAGGCACATCGGCTCTTCCCTACCCTTTCTCACCGATTCACCCTTACTTGCTGTTTGCTGATGTTAGGTGTGGTTGCTCGTACCGTTTAGGGACATTATTATTCTTGCGCTTATGATTGCCAGGGTTGGCACCATCATGCAACTGGGATGGTATGAACCAATGTTTTCAGTTCGTATTATCGAGGCTAGTCGTATGACCACCGATCAGACGAAGGGTCGATTAGTCGGTCCTAATCGGGTCTAATCGGCTAGTCGAACATTTAGTCGTCCTTGTGCCTAGATGGCCTGATCGACCATGTATATACTATATATATGATGTAAATATATGTAAACATGGCCATAATAAATAGGTAAATGTTAGAGGCAAGCAACCAAGCACAGTTTGGCATGTAATCATGTTTGCAATGAATCATTATCATGGTGATTTGGCCACTTACCTGTAACTTTGTGGAGTACTCAAGAGTGGGCTGTGACATCTTGGACTTGTGCCTTTCTGCAACCACTTCTTCTGGACTCTTGCAAAGCAAAGAACTCACTGACTTGGAATGCTTCTGTGTTTGAGGTTTTGGTGGAGCAGAAACGACAAAGTTCGTGATTGATGCTTGAGCTATCTTTTTCGCTTGCTTTGATTTTGTCCCAGAACTTGGAACTTGCTTTGACTTTGTCCCAGCCTTTGGTTCATTTTCAGCAGCAACAGAAGCACCACCTCCACCTTGATCTGTTTCTTCTTCTGTTTCTGGCTCCACCCCAGTGTCCGTAGGTACCTGAACCTGAGTCCTTGACCTTGTGACCAAGTAACCATTCATCTCATGCCTAACTAGCTCAGTTGCTTCACCACATTTCACTGCATCAGAATAGCCCCCAACAAGGTGTTGCTTGAACCTTTTAATGCTTGTAGGGACAACCTTT